GTTATGTTCGAGACATTCCTCGTGCTGCAGGAAGCCTTTCTGGGCTTCAGAGAGTCGTTTGTTTGAAACTGCACAGGAGGCGAGGCGATCGGCCATCACGGCGGCGTAGAGCTTTGGCGTGGTGTCATTCATCGCGAGCGGGCGCCAGTTCGTCAGGTTATCCTGGTCACCTTTCTTATAAACAAGAATGGTGTTTGACTCCTTTCAACAGTCAGGAATACGCTTTAACACGCAGGTGTTAAAAAGCACAGTAAGGAGCCGCGCATCCGGTCAACCCGCTTGAGGTCATCGTAGGCAATGCCGTTAGGACCAGGGGATGAGCTCTTCATTCTTCCTAACCGACGACGTACCTTGGTGATCTCAAAAGGCAAGATCAGGAAGTCGGGGCCTCTCGCTTCCTCATGATAGATTGTCGGGAAGGGCCCTGGACAATCCCGGAGAGCATACATACCTGCGAAGTACTGCTGGACAGTGTCCAATGGTGCTTCGCAGTGTGGAGAGGCTCCCTCACGCACCGCACGCTTCCGGTTTGACCGAAACAAGCGTTGCATACGCGTCGTGTCCCGAACGTATACCTGGCGGTTGGAAGGAGCTCAGGTCGCCGACGAACTGTTCACGGAATGGTCACTCCGCTCTCGCCCTAGTAGGTGGCTGGCCCTCTCTCCTCCTGGGGGTTGAATTTGCAACCCGACCGGCGACCACGGTCCCATGCTTTTTGAAGAACTCCGCCATTTTCGTAGCGAAGCCCTGCAGCTCCAGAGCATCGGCAACCGCGTCGGACAGCTCGGCGTCTATCGCTGCCCGACTGCTTCGGTGAAGCAAGCCGGATCGTTCGACGGCAGGCGCGTGCTCGTCGCTCTGCTCGTTACGGTGCTCGACCTCTGGGAACCGTGCCCGCCGGACCCGACTGCGCCCACTGCTGCGCTCACGGCGCCCATCGGAGGACGTGCCGCACACCACCGGCGGTCTCCGGATCCGGATACCGAGGGGTTCTCTCCTGTAGCATAGTAAAGCTGGGTCTGATGCCCTTCTTGGGGATTGAAAGTCATCCTAAATTTTGACAGGTCTTCTATTATTGTTATTGGCATTTCCTCGGCCCTTCCTGTTCTGCCCATTTTCGTTGAGTCTAAAAACAGAGGCCCGGTTTGACCCGGGGGTATTAGTCGCGCTGTTGGCAGCGTCACTTAGCCTAGAACATTCACAATGACATGTTAGAAAATTGTCTTTAATAAAATAATTTTAAGAAAAAAAATACGCCGACTTCGAAATGCACTAAAAAGTATAAAATAATTTCTATTTCCTAATGAAGTAATTTCTATTTCATTTAATTATACAATTACATAACAGATATGAATGAAACCTATTTACTCGTTAGGTAGTATATTAAGTACATTTCAACATTTTCGGAGGCGGCGCATCGATCCCCACTCAATAACGATCGAAGGAGGTCGATGCGAGGATCAAATTCGACACTCTACGTCTGGAAGCGAATCGAGTCGGTTCAAGAAAAATCTATTCTGCGAAACACGGTACGCGATTGCGAGGTCAAACCGACCTGATAGATTCGTCAAGCCGACAATTTGTCCGCGACGCGTAAACGCCTCAAACCGAGGAGTCGATCGTTCAAGCCGAACGGTGGCACAGTCAGAGTAAGATTTCGGAACAATTATTCGGTCGTAAACTGCGTAGTAGTCAGAACATAAATACTAATTTGTATTAAAGCGTATAACCGAGAACATAAATACTAATTTGTATTAAAGCGTATAACCGAGTACGGTAATTTCTAAATTCATTGGGTAAAGAGGTGGTAAGTAACGGTTGATTGGAAGTCAATTCTCTTTAATAACTTTCGACGATATTCCCGCAGTTGTGAATAGCGACTGATATCATTTAAATTGTATATTTTGGCGTGGTACAGCTCTCAGGCTCATACAGGCAATTGAAGTGTCGCTCGGCCCACGTAAAGTGTCCCGCCGCATCTTCTAATTGTACCTGTGTGCCCTTGCGAGAAGTAGTCTCGCTGGTGTAGAATTGTATGATTTCTGCCATGTTTGATCGGGGCACAGCTCACAGACTCGTTTGAGTAACCAGAGTATCGCCCAGCTCACGAAAGTGCCCTGCCGCTACTCTTTGGTTGTTCTGAAATGCCTTTGTGAAGAGGTGGACACGATCGTGTGGCACTGCTTTCACTTTGTTTGGAGGTGAATTTATTCAAATAGGGTTCGTATTCTGATTGGGTAACCGAAGTGTCGCCCAGCCCACATCTTGTGCATGCCGATATCTTCTGGTTGTTCTCTATAAGCGTATGAATCTCATAGTGCACGCACCGTTTGACTTTTTCCGAGTTGCTCGACAAGGTCAATCTGTGTGTTACTGTATTATTCGCGTCGCGAATTACACGATCGGATCAGTACTGTTGGAATCTGGCGTCCGGCATCAGAGCAAGTCTTGAGCCTCAACAGATTCCTCTTGACAAACTCTTAGGTGTCTCAACCTGATC